TTAGTCATAACATTATGTGTCATTGTTTGTGTTCCATGATATGTAAATTGGGGCATTATTATAGGAAATAATAATATAAAGGCGATGTGTAGGTTCGATCTGTATTTACTCTTGATTAAATGCTTACCATATCTCAATAGTAATATATAAACAATAACAACATACGTCAGAATAGCTGTTGACGTCAAATAGCGCGGTTATACGTAACATAGGTGATAGCGAAAATATGTAGATATCTTGGGGACATACTGGGGGCCTCGAAATGTTAATCTTATTACACAAAATTTTACGAATATTTAAGGAGTATGTTCAGAAGTAACTTATCAGCATACGATAGTAAAGCTTAATTTAAATGAGTATGTTTTGTCTCTAAGTAGTTCATTTGGTAAAACATTTTGGTTATTTTCGTTATTAACCTTTAAAATACAGTGTTTTTAAGTGTGACTTTTCATGAATATTATTTCATAGTTAAAGTTGTATAACTTCCAAAGAAACACCACTGTCTGATCTAATTTACGCCAGTTTCCATTGTGCAGGTGGTACGTCATCTTGAATTTGTATTACGTCACTTACTTATATTGAGTGTTTATTTTTTCCGAAAGTATGATGTTGTTCTCGAAGAACAGTTAGATAATCATGTTTCTACTCTTTACGGAAGTCTTCTATGATTTTAATCAGAATTATGGCAAGTTGTGCAATGTTCTGATGTTTCCAAAGGCTAAAAACTTTTTTAAACGTTTTTCAAAAATTGCTGTGTTTCTTAAGATTATGTTTACGTTCATTTGTATTTTGTATGGTTCCAGGAAAATTGACGCAGTGGGAATATGAACATCAGTTTCACGTTGTTAATATCAGTTACTGTAGTAGAAATATCTGATTCCATGAAATATTAATTCAACACATAGCTGACCTTAACTCTTGTAATTCCCAGTTTACACTGCGATGATCACAATGTTTACCATATTTTGTTTCATAATGCCTGTTAACTTATCTAAAATTGTTGTATTAATAAGTAACTGTAAGATTTCTGTGGATGTCCAAGTGATTCTAAACCTCTGACAAAGTTTCCAGTTTATCATTAAAACGTTGTACATTTTTGCAACTCTCCAAAGTTCAAGCAAGTAGAGCATGTAGATATGCAATTATGGTAAGTTTAGGGAGTGTATGTTGCGCAAATGTACTCGAACTCGTATATCGCGGTACAATAGGGTTATCTATCTTCTTGATCAACTATTGCTTGTAAAGTTTTGAATCTGATTCCAATAAGTCACATTTAACTTCTGAATCCTCAAATCCAAATCGTATGAATATTTTTCACTTTCCACGATTTTTGTTTCAACATTGACACACTGATTGATGATCTTTTCATTCAGTCCTTTATTTATAGTAGCGTTCTCTGCCAGATTACATATGAGTGATGAAATTTCTAGAGACGACATTTCCTCATTTGGATCTATTGCGGCTAATTTTCACTGAACAATTCTGCGATGACCTTCTTTTGTTGAAATAAGTTTCTGTAGATTCATGATTAGTCAATAACTATAAAAACGGCATCAACGTTAAAGTGGATTAATATATTGGAAGTAATAATACAGATGCGTTGTGTAGGTTCGATCTGTATTGACTCTAGATTCAATGTGTACAAAATCTCAATATTGATATGTAAACAATAAAAACATACGTTTGAAATGACGACGTCCAATAACGCGGTAAGACGTCACGTAGAAAATAGCCTAAATATATGTAGTTATCTTGCGGACATATATATTGGTAAATGTCTTCTTATTGCAAATGAATAGAAATTGATCTCTCTTTTCAAAATGTGGATCTACTCTATTCCTTAAAATTATATTTGTTACATAAGACTTAGAATGCATAAATTTATTAATATTATTTATATGTTAATGAATACATTTTCATTAAAATGTGATGAATGACGTGTGTAAAATGTGGTACAAAAATGAAATTTAAAACACCATATGCGTGGTAGTTCTAATTAAAATTCCTCCATACATCGAAGTTGAAATGTATTCACTTAAATCAGCCTGTACGCCCGGCTTGACGCATGGACTCAGGGGAAATAACATAATTGAATTCCTAGTTTAGTCCGTGTAGACTGTACTTGTCATCTGTTCGTCGGGTCGTCGGTCCTATCATGAGAAAACGCTTGAAGTTATTAAAGGTATCAAGTTGAAACTTGAAATCCAAACATATCAAATTGAAACTTGATAAGAAGGAAGATCTGATGAATATTGCAATGCTAAAGAATAATAACCCTCTTTTGCATGCTTTTGTTATTGAAGTTATTTCTCTTGGTATTTGTTTTTTATTTCTGATTGTATGTTCAACAATTTGTGAATTACTTTTAAAGCAGATAACTTTCAAATATAAAAACTATACAAATATGAATTCGGACCATTTAGTCATTATTTATTGGGGGATGGAATCACAAAAGGCCGTAATCATGACTACTGGCTTGAAACATGTGATTAATGTTAATATATGCAATGTTATGCCACTAAAATGCTAGTCGAGGTCACTAAAAATGATAAAATATAAAGATTGTTTACCAGAGCATATCCCCTACACATTTGGAGGGTTTCTAATGAAACTTCATACAAATAAACATCACTATAACAAGCAGTGTCATGCGCAAGTACTAGATATCTAGGGCAAAGGTCAATGTCAAACTTAGAGGTCATTGAAAAACATTTGTCCGGAGCAAAACTTCTATATGCATAGATGGATTTCAATTTTACCTTGCTCAGATATTCACGATGATCAAGATCAAGGTCACCAATAGGGGTCAACGTTCAGATAATAATATGAAAATGTGTATTCGGTCCATTTAGTTACCATTTATTAAAGTATTGAAACATAAATGATCATTAGCATGATTACTGGTGTGAAACAAGTAATTTAGGTTAATATATGCAAGGTCAAGGTAAAAAAAAAAGATGATAGTCAAGGTCACTAAAGATGATACAATATAGAGATTTTGTCGAGAGCATATTATATCGTACCCATATGGAGGGATATAATTAAACTTCATTCAATGGTTCATCACTATAAGAATCTGGAAACAAAGTCATCTCTCGGAAGCATTAAATCACAACAAAAATACAAGAGAATTTCAGACTCGGTTTAATTGAGTCTGTACTATAAGAAGCATTCCAGGTCAAAGGTTCAGGTCAAATTTGGAGATCATTGAAAAACGGTTGTCCCGAGCAAACTTCTACATGCATGGAGGATTTTCAATATAACTTAGCACAAATGTTAACCATTGTCATGCAGAGGTGTCGCATGCAAAATTTAGGTCCCTGCGGCTAAGGTCAAGGTCACACATAGGGGTCATAGTTCAGATAAAGAAAAATAAATCTGTATTCGGACTATTTAGTCATCATTTATTGAGAGATCGAAAGACAGTTGGTCATTATCATAACTACTGGTGTAAAACATGTAATTTAGGTTATTGTATGCAAGGTCAATGTCAATGTCAAATATCAAAATTTTGTCCACAGCATATCTCTTCCACACATAGTGGAATTTTTATGAATCTTCATAGAAAGGTTTACCACTATGAGAAGCTGTGTCACGTGCATGAAACAAATCGTTAGTTTTATGGTTAAGATTACACTTAGAGGTCGTTGCAATATGCTTGTTTTGGAGCCGAACGTCTACATTTATCGGGGGGTTTTAATGTAACTTGTCACAAATGTTAACCATTGTGAGGCTTATTGCGCATATAATCCAGGTCCGTGCTACCAAAGTCAAGGTCACATAGAGAGGTAAAAAGTTTTGTACGGGAACCATTAAGTCATTTTTTATTGATGGATTGTATCACAAATGGTAACTTAGAATAATAGTTGCAAAGTCAAGGTCACTAGAGATGATAAGATATCAAGATATTTTCCGGTTATTGCACAGAGCATATCTCCTATATGCATATCTATAATTCCAACATCTCTACCCAACGTTTCTGTGACGGGCGTATTTTTCGACATGTTGCCATTGCTTTGTATAATCATTATACCTATAAACGTACATAATAAAGAATCATCGTTTGATATATGTAGATAATGACAGTTTAGTGAGTTCAATTTCCAGAACTAGTTGTATTGCTCATCATTTAATCAGATAATAGAGATCTGGTTATTTCGCTCCAAATCAATTCTGGCTACAGAATAATTATAAAGCGGCTTGCTACAATGACAATTTGAAACATAGAATTTATTTTTCTACATAATATGCCAACCTTAGTTATGCTGCAGCATACATGCCTGTCACACGCTGTGCTTTCAGCACTTTTTTATATCCTACGTAGGAGTTATAAAGTCACAATTAGGCTTTTTTCTATCACCTACATAGGATTAAAAATTCTTACGTAGCACTTATTACGTCCTATGTAGGCGATTTAAAGTCTTTATTAGGCTTTTGTATCTCCTACCTAGGAGTATAAAGTATAACGTAGAAGTCCTACGCAGGAGTTATGAACTCCTAATTAGTTTTTTTATCTCCTCTGTAAGAGTTCTCCTTTTAAAAGAACATGTTAAATTGGCACCAGGACGCTTCCGTATCTAGTTGATCCTGAAATTGTGAAGAAAAGTGATCTGTTATTTATAATATTTATTATAAGATTTTCGTTCAAACATCATTACAATATGAACCACAAATGAAACAAAAAATATTTTATTTTTTTTATTTTGAAATTCCTTTACTTTGCTAAAGATACTAGTTATTGTTTAAAAATGTTTTACTTTAATGGCAATAATTTAGATGTTATTATTTACTTAGATACCAATACACATTGTTGTATAAAAGACTATGTACAAATATGCATAATACATAATTTAATAACATTCTTTACTATAATTATTATGTCACAAAAAGTCTCAGGTTGGATAATAAATTCAAATAACGTCAAGGAATTCAAAATAATGATTTCATTTTTTTTTACTGAATTCAAAATACGGGTTCTTTATTATTTATCTTTTTTTCAGTTCCCGTGGAAAAAATTGAAGTTACTACGCCAAGCGATAGCAATGTAACAATATTAGAAAATAATTATGAATTGTTTATATGTAATACATCATACAGCAGACCAACACCATCTGTTCAATGGTTAATGCAAATTGGAGATAAAACAAGTCCAATAAACACAGCTAGTTCTGTTGAAATCATATCTGACGACAAAGGGTATAACTCTACTAGTAGTCAGCTAAACATAAGTGTCACTAGAGAAAAACAGGGGGCAAAAATATTTTGTAATGGTGCAAATGGCTTAGGATCAAATGTTGTCTCTCGAAAAATAACGCTTCATGTATTTTGTAAGTAAAATTTCTGGTCACATGTTTACCTTTTAACTATTAAATGTATTTTTTAGAGGAACCCACTTTCATTCTAAATATATAATTTTTATAAAGGCGTATATTGTAAAGTTTCCAAATACTACTGGTACTATATGGTTTAATTTTTGTAAGAGTGAATATACTACAAGTACTTTACACGAGATAATAATCTGACTGTTTTTAGTGAAACAAAGATGTTAGAGGATTCAATATTGCGTATTTTGTTATCCGCTCTTTGAATTTCTAAATTAACTTACTTGATTATTGTAATGTTTAATTCGTTTTAGTTTTTTTTGTTTTTAGTGATTTATTAATATAATTTATTTGTTGCAGATGCTCCTAATAGAGGTCCTTATATTGACAAAGCTTTCAATAACAGTTTCTACAAATTGAAGGAAAACAGCAATTGTAATATCACATGCATAGCCGTTGGGGGTTACCCGCCCCCAAAACTATCATGGAACTGCACTGGAACACAATTCGAGTTTGAAAGGAATGAAGAGGTAGGATTAAATTTACAGTGGCTGGGAAAACGTGATGAAGACAAAGTTTGCACATGCACATCAAATCATGTGGTAGCGGGGATTCATACAGCTATAATAAAGATATACATATTATGTAAGATTTAATTCATATATCGTTATAACCCAGGTATCCGATTGACTTGAAATATATTTTTAAAGGTAATATTAATATCAGTGAACTTAATATTATGACAGAATAAAACAAACACAGTTATTTTTATATCATACAATTTCCGTTATTTCATTTGGATTTCAACAAACAGTCTTAATATGTTAACTGCGATTACTGTTTGATTTCATTAACCTGCCAATTGCATACTGACTATACGGTCAATGGCCACGCTATATGTATCGATATTTTTTCGGTAAGTTCCATAATATTTAATTTGTGCCAATTAAATAGTTGTACTGAGAGTTAAAGCACAAAAGAGTTAACTCGGATCTGAATCAAAAAAGTAATTTCAATGTCGTAAAATACAAACCTTAAACGAGCCAAAACAGTGTTTTAGTTGTTTCATATAGACAATTTAGCAAGCACTTGCCATTTCCTTTACTGCAAAAAAGGCAGAGCAGATCTAGAACAATGGCAATAGTAGGGGAAGGGATCGAACCACAGGCCTATCATATATTAGAGCTATATTCCTGTTCAAATTCATCAAAATAAATTGTCAAATTAACACCTCATTGTTATCAAATGCGTAATTTAACTAGTATTGACAAAGTTGTCAAACTTAGAACTGCTCTCTGTAACATTTCTGGCCATTCTAAAAAATGCAATATCTTATTTGACTGGGTAAGTCAAATAAGATTTATCTCTTGGCGGGAAGCCCTTCGATTATTTCCGTAAATGTTTGGATCGGAGTCACGTGATTGATATGAATAATTATCAAACCAAAATAATGGCGCACATTACGAAAGATGTAAAACGTATACAAGAGAAAGAAGATTTCAGATTCGGAAAATGCGAAAAGTGGAAAGAACACTTGATTTTATTCAATCAAGGATATACCTCGGTAGTGAATCAAGGCGGTGAAAAGTTCTAAAAAGGGAAATTTAAGCAAAAATCGACCGTGAAGTTGTAACATTTTCTGATTGACAGGTGATTATTATTTTTGTTTGCGTTTACATTTTTTCTTGGTCTAGCTTAAATGAATAATTTCACCTATGAATTTATAAACTAAGATATTGTTTTTATATTTTAGAATTGTATTGATACATGATCAAGAATTTTAGCTTGCAGTTCCACGTTTGTACGACGTATGTCGTACATTAAGTTTTCGTTCACTGTGATGTGCGTACCCTTACAGTAAACTGTTAAATAAAAGTTCGGCATGGCGCATGTTATAATCATTGTAATATCGTTTTATATGGCCAAACACAATCTTTTAAATCATATTTTAGAAACAAAAAAAGGGCGGCAGTCCCGCTATCGCCTAGAAAATGTAAGACTTGTGAGAGGCTAATAATGACCCTAGATCGATAATAAGGTAACGTGTAACCAACGCTGAAAAGCATTTGTCTCTATCTCAATCCATTGAGAAGTTGCAGCACTTTGAAAACAATTTTGATGGAAACAATCAACTCAAAATAGTGATTCTGGGCAATTTTGAGATGTCTCCTCATTGCCATGGTAACAGGAGATTTAAGCCAGCCCGACCATGTTGTTACAAAGGCAATGGTCCAGTCAACATTTTTGCTAAGTTTGATTAGTATTGAAGCAGTTTTTATAGTTTTATAGCAATTTGAACTTGTTACGGGAGACTTTTCAATGAAAATAGCCATTTTTCACAAAATGCTCATAAAGTAATGGGTTAAACTATAAGTGTTGTCATGAGCTTTAATGTGGTAAACAAAGTTAAAAGTATAACTTAATTATATATTTTGATATACATGTATGTCATACATTTTTAGCTCAACTATTCTCTTTTTTATTTTTTTTAGAAAAAAGAAATAGAGGTTACAGTTACTTAGGCGTTGCCATCTGCAAACTTGAATCTTGTGCATAAGTTCTTACTGTTTTGTCTACATACTTGGTCACCACAACACTTGCAACAAGACCTTTAAGAGGACATGACTAACTTTGGCCTTCATTCATTAATGACCTTGACCTTCAAGGTTAAATGTCTAAATTTTGGCTTTGCTTGTTACTTGCTATTAGTGGCTTTTACTTTATTTTTGAATAGAACTTGAGCATAACACTCTTTTAGGATATACCTCTAAATTCACCAGACAGGTCTTGACCTTCACTCATAAATGAACTTGGTCTTGAATGTCTAACAATTGAAATTTTCATTTTTGTGCTGTAATAGGTAATAACATTGTTATAATTGAATGACTTTATTTTAAAACAGAACATCCTTAATGTTTACTAAACTCTAATTGACCTTGACTCTATTATGATATTGACCTTGAAGGTCAAATTATTGAATTTTCACTGGTTTTGTTTCTTTGCTATAATTGACTTTAACTTGGTAATTGATACTAAATGGATTATCTTCATACTTTGACAAAATAGCATTTTGGACTAGACCTTCAGGAAGGTTGAACTGATCTTGACCTTGAACTGATATGACATTGACTTGCAAGATCAAATTATTGAATTTTGGTTAAAATGTCAAATATTTGTAATTTATGTCTTCATTTGATTTAAACTTGCCACCAAACAAACATATTGAATAATTTAGATGTGATCTTAACCTTAAGATTAACTGAATGTTAAGGTCAAATGATTGTTTTTAGTAACTTTGTTACCTTTAATTGGATTAACTTCATTTCCAAACACAATATTTTTAAGGTTAGGACTTTTATGTATATCAAACTCAAATTCATCTTGACATATGTATGACCTTGACATTAAAGTTCAAGTTATCATATTTTCACTTAATATTGCTATAATTGTGAAAAAAAGGGTCAACGTCAAATTATTGAAATTTGGTTAAGTGGTCATTTTGTAATCAATGTACAGAGTTGATTCATATGTGGACAAAACTGCACTTGTGACCAAACAGATAAATGGAATAATTTAGGTACGACCTTGACCTTAAATGACCTTGACCATTTAATGACCTTTACTGTCAAATGTTTGAACTTTGTTATTTATTTATATAAAGGATTCATAATTGGACTAAACAACACGAGTGTACGGAAGAGCATTAGTGCCAGGTATATGTTTTTATTAACTCGAAATTTCGAGTAAGTTACTCGAAATTTCGAGTTAGTAACTCGAAATTTCGACTTACTAACTCGAAATTTCGAGTAACTTATCTAGAAATTTCGAGCTACTAACTCGAAATTTCGAGTTAGTAACTCCAAATTTCGAATTAGTAACTCGAAATTTCGAGATATGTTACTCGAAATTTCGACTTAGTAACTCGAAATTTCGACTTATTAACATTACAAGATTGGCCAAAGTTATTAGTTAGATGATATAAGATATAGTAGCGAGTGCCGTTGAACGATGGAGATGGAGAAACGGGTGCCTGGACAAAAACTATTGAAATTTAACTTAAACTTAGTAATGCCATGTACACACCCGACCTAAAAATCACAAGGCTTTGTTTAATTTGTACGTTCAGGCGTTCTTCAGTTGTATTGTATCCCATCTGTTCGAACATATCTTTTCACTAATCATATTCTTCTCATCCCTGTGAATAAAACGATCCTATACTTCACGTGTGGGACATCTGAGGACAGTGTCGCGGCGTGGCCAAAATAGGGCCTGCGGAAGCTTTTGTCAAAATTGTTGGACTGACTATATTTCTTGTAAAATCGGATGCTTTTATATTATTCCCAACATATATATAACAACAAGTTCCACTTTTATCACTTTTTATCAACACAATATAAACCAAAGTATTAGTAAATAATGAATAATGTTACAAAAACATTATTAGTATAGAGAAACGTGACAGACTAACTGGCGTATACACGCCATCTAAAACTTATTTAACCCATTGCTTCATGAGCATTTTGTGAAAAATGGCTGTTTTCATTGAAAAGTCTCCCGTTACAAGTTCAAATTGCTATAATACTATAAAAACTGCTTCAACACTAATCAAACTTGGCACAAATGTTGACTGGACCATTGTCCTTGCAACAACATGCTCAGGCTTAAATTTTCTGTTACCATGGCAACGAGGGGACATCTCAAAATTGCCAAAAATCACTATTTTGCGTTGATTTTTTCCATCAAAATTGATTTCAAAGTGCTGCAACTTCTCAATGGATTGAGATAGAGTCAAATGCTTTTCAGCGTTGGTTACACGTTACCTTATGATCAATTTGGGGTCATTTACAGCCTCTCACAAGTCCAAAATTTTCTTGGCGATGAGGGGGACTCCGCCCCCCTTCAAACCCCCCCCCCAAACAGAAGGGGGCACATCCCCCTTCTGGCAACCCCCTGATGTATCTTTTGGTTGGGGGGGCGCCGAAAAAAGGGTCACTTCTTTTAACAACATTTCTCAAACAAAAACTAGTGTTTGGGGCCTAAATAAGGCATTTTTCATCATTTGAGACAACAAAAAGGGGGGGGGGGTGAAAAAGGCGTTAAAAGGCGTGTATATGAAGTAATGGGTTAACAGAAAATGATGAAAATACTTGAAATTACCCTAAATCGCGTTTTTTCATGTTTAAACATGGCCTGTCATATAAATTTGAAGAAAAATTGTTGTTTTGTAGATTTTTTTATTTTTTTCATTAACCCATTGCTTCATGAGCATTTTGTGAAAAATGGCTGTTTTCATTGAAAAGTCTCCCGTTACAAGTTCAAATTGCTATAATACTATAAAAACTGCTTCAACACTAATCAAACTTGGCACAAATGTTGACTGGACCATTGTCCTTGCAACAACATGCTCAGGCTTAAATTTTCTGTTACCATGGCAACGAGGGGACATCTCAAAATTGCCAAAAATCACTATTTTGCGTTGATTTTTTCCATCAAAATTGATTTCAAAGTGCTGCAACTTCTCAATGGATTGAGATAGAGTCAAATGCTTTTCAGCGTTGGTTACACTTTACCTTATGATCAATCTGGGGTCATTTACAGCCTCTCACAAGTCCAAAATTTTCTTGGCGATGAGGGGGACTCCGCCC